ATTAAGGCCCCAGGCACAAAAGTGCTGTACAGATAGGGCTTCTCCTTGGCACTCTGCCAAAGAGAAGCCACTCTCTTCCCTGCCCCACTTTTTCAGCCCCCATCTGCTCTATGTCCCTTCTGTTCCTCCTCCTCACCACTTCAAAAGCTTCTACCTTTTACTGAAAGTGATCTTAATATAACAGGAGAGAAATGAGATGAGGTCAATGACTTTCATTAAGCCTAGTGTATTTAAACTTGGAAGGGCATAATCATGTTTGAAAAGAGCTGCTTATTAACTCAAATAATTGTAGAACAATGTGCAACTCGACTTCAAAATAGGGTTGAGAGCAGAACTTTCTGGAGTCCCATACAGGTTTTTGGGCACTGACCCCCGCCAGAAGGTCCAGGTCATAACTATGTTCCCTTACTGTTGAAAGATGAGTTCTGCCCAGCCAAGTGCAGCAGGAACTGCCTAGACAGGCACAACTCACAAGTGTGGGGGTGGGAGAGGGGTGGGCAGGGGAAGGAATACAAATCTTCCGCAGAGCCAAAACATGTGTGGGTCTAACTTTTGTTTCTAACATTTTAAAAGCTCAATAATTATGCTTTCAAAGATCTCTAGAGAGAACATCTTTCTTCAGCAGATCAAGATTTTTTACAAGCAAGATTTCACAATGTGTTATCTGCATCCTCAATATTAATTACATAAATAATTTTATTCTTTACACCAATTGTATCATGTTCTTTCACTGTTTTGTTTTCCCTTAGATTTTTTAAGGCGCTCCAAGTTCTCAGATTTCAGGTGAGGAACTTCAAGGTCTTTTCAAAGTCTGAGGTTTTCTGAGTTTATCAAAGAGAAATAGCTAAGTTACAAGAAAAATCATTACGTATAAGTGTGAGTTATATAAAATGTTCAACTATTCACTCAGACATCAGTAAATATTCGTTTTAGCACAACAAACAGCACACATGAGTTGAAATAGGGTGGACAGAAAAAAACCTAAAGAAATCCTGTAGCACCTAAAAAAGAGAATGACATGACATCACAGCGTGAAACAGAGCCAGGGGTCAAAAGCAGCAGTGGCCCATGGGTGTGCAGTATGTGCTTTGTTTTTCAAAAACATTTTTTGCCTATTTCCTTTTATTCCCATAATATCCCTAAGAAGTAGAGCTCCTCCAACCTTCATTCTGCAGAGGCAGAAAGACATTGGATCCCTTGCTGATGGTGATCCCCAGTGGCCCCTCCAATGGCCTCATCAGGCAGGCTGACTGTACTCTTAGCGTCCACCCGGGTTTAGCCAGTGGAGGAGATCGGCAGGCAAGGAACAGAAAGAGAGAGGCTGGGGGTACTTGTGCTCCCCCTGCCCAGTCCCCAGGCTGCTGCTCTGGCAGTGGCTGCATTCTGTGATGGCCACAGCAGCTCTGGACGGGGGTGGCTCCTCCAGCAGTACTCCAGCCCTCTCCTCCCAGCTCTGGTCTCCTCCCTACCCCTTCAAACCAGAGTGGGGGTGCCCACTGAAGCTCTTTCCTGTGTGCCTCACCATCACTCGTTGGTTCCTCCAATCCTGCCCACTCTTCTTTAAAAATTCTCCTTAAAATTCCTTTCATTTTTATGCTTTTCACTGTTGGGATCTCAACTGATAAACCTGGTGGTATATCAGTTTGCAGCATCCCTGGCTTTTCCCCACTAGATGCCAGTGGCATATACACTTTTCCCCCCAGCACGTCAATCAGAAATGTCAGTAAGAACTACTGGGTTAAGGGCTGGGTGCGGTGGCTTATGCCTGTAATCCCAGCACTTTGGGAGGCTGCGGCGGGCACGGTACGGATCACAAGGTTAAGAGATCCAGACCATCCTGGACAACGTGGTGAAACCCCATCTCTACTAAAAATACAAAAATTACCTGGACATGGTGGCACGCACCAGTAGTCCCAGATACTCAGGAGGCTGAGGCAGGAGAATTGCTTGAACCCAGGAGGCAGAGGTTGCAATGAGCTGAGATCGTCCCACTGCACTCCAGCCTGGGTGACAGAGCAAGATTCCATCTCAAAAAAAGAAAACAAAACAAAACAAAAAAAACAAAAAAACCCGAAAAACAACTACTGGGTTAATGGAAATCACTAAATTATTGCTGACAAAGCTCTACAGTTTCACATTCCAATTTGCACGTGGGAGAGATGCAAAACCTCACAGTAAATTAATAGCACAGCCAGGACTAAACAGCTTCCTTGGCTTACATTATGTTTCCCTTTTGATTTCAGTCTCTCTCCCACATGCAAATTGGAATCTGAAACTCTAGAGCTTTGTCAGCAATAAATTACTGATTTTCATTAACCCAGTAGTTCTCATTGACATTTCTGATTGTTGTACTCGGGGGAAAAGGGTATGTGCCATTGGCATCTAGTAGGGAAAGGCCACGGATGCTTCAAAACATCCTGTGATGCACAGGACACCTTCCTACCCCCACTACACACACACAACAAAGAGTTATCCAGCCCAAAATGTCAACAATGCCAGAGTTGAAAAAGCCTGGATTACTCATCATGCAGAATGAACTACAGTTGTGACCTTCCTCCTCGTTCCAGAAGTATGGGGAAGGATAAGGGAGAGGGTGACCCTCTCAGGTGGGGCCAGCTGCCAGCCTCAGAGGTCTAAGGGTAAAGGTAAAAGCAACTCTTGCCCTGGAGGGAGTTGGATACTTTGGAATCTATCGAGAAAAATATAATAGCTACATGGGACACAAGTCTGGAAATACAGACATCAAAATATTAACAGTAATTACGTCTCTGAGTGGTGAAACTTTTAGTGACTACTTTCTTTTTGCTTATTTATCTAAACTTTTCTATAAAGGTTAGTTAGCATAATTATTCAAAACTCTAAAAAACATTACAAATTATGCCACTTTCACTGACTGCATCCCTCCTAGCCCCAATTCCTTAACTGAACAGACTTTCACAGGGCAATAACATATCAAGGTGCTCTGATAATGAAGCCCACAGAAAATTTTTCCTATAGCTGAGAATCAGGAAAGGTTCTGCTTCCTTCAAGGCCATTAACATTTGGGGGATCAATGAATGAATGAATGAATGAAGTTGCTATGTATGTTTTACTTTCAAATGACAAGAACCATGTAACTGACCAAGTTTACCTTTCTAGAAACAAATTTGGGACTCAACTACAAAAATATAGGCCTGCACTGACCTATAAGGGAGCCACTAGACAGAGTGGCTATTGGAATGTAAACTAACTAAATATAGCACATTTTCATAATCATAGAAAATTCTATTGGATAGCACTGAAACACTTTATTCTTTTTTTCCCTGCAATAGTTTCTTGTACTTATACTTTCTCTCATCTCAATTCCTGGCTATATTTATCTTCTATTTATTTGTTACTATTCTACGTGATTTTGTTGCAAATGACCTTCATTCCTTTGTGGATCAATTTGGGGCACTGTACTTTTGAAATATCAGTGTGTATATATATATCACTGTTTCTGAGAGTTCAACCTTCATTTCTGATTGTAAGGCAGATCTAGCAGCTCATGTAATGTAGCTAGTTGCTCACAGTTCAAAGACTGAAGAGAGGCTGGGTGAAGTGGCTCACGTCTGTAAATCCCAGCACGTTGGGGAGGCCTAGGTGGGTGGATTACTTGAGGGCAGGAGTTCGAGACCAACCTAGCCAACAAGGCAAAACCCTGTCTCTCCTAAAAATTTTAAAATTAGCTGGTCGTGGTGGTGTGTTCCTGTAATCCCAGCTACAGGAAGCTGAGGAAGGAGAATCACTTGAACCCAGGAGGCGGAGGTTGCAGTGAGCCAAGATGGTGCCACTGCACTCCAGCCTGGGCAACACAGTGAGACTCCGTCTCAAAAAACAAACAAACAAAAAGACTCAAGAGAACACTGTCAGGAACTAAGCTCCCCTGTCACAAAGGCACTACATTCAGTGTTTTTTTTTTTAATAAACAAAAAGGTATATACACTGTCCATTAATGAAAAGTTTCACTATTTGATTAAAGCTTAATTTGAAGCTGAGTCATGAAATGTCTTTTTCAAATTCCAAAATATATGGCTATCAACTTATTTCTGAAATCTTAAATATATGATTTATGACAAAAAACAAATGGCCCAACCTGTTACTACTGATATATATATGATCATGTCATCAGAGTCCTGGATACGCCAAAGAGAATCAGAAATGAAAACGCAGGGAGCTCCTGCACGGTGGGATTCCCTGTCAGCCCACGGTTCTGGTGGAGTTTCGCCTCTACATAGAAGTCTATGCAATTTTGAGTATTTTACCAGATTTTCAGTTTTATAAAAAATGACTGGGAGTAATAAGTAGTGTAGATTAAAAACTAAATACAATTAGAACAAAGATGAAAATTAACAGATGTGGCCCGAAGTGGCAAATCTTTGACTTTAATCAGATGCTAACTGGATAGGCAGGGGGTACAAAGAATAAAAAAGTAAAGATCGGCTGGGCGCAGTGGTTCATGCCACGCCTGTTATAATCCCAGCACTTTGGGAGGCCAAGGTGGGTAGATCACCTCAGGTCAGGAGAATAGCTTGAACCCAGCAGGTGGAGGTTGCAGTGAGCCAAGATCGTGCCACTGTACTCCAGCCTGGGGACAGGGCAAGATTCCGTCTCAAAAAACAAAACAAAACAAACAACAACAAAAAAACCAGTAAAGATTACATATGAAATGCGGAAAAACACACTGAGAATTATTCCTTAAAAAGGCCAAGTATAATTAGAGACCCTTTTGTAATTTTTAGCTCCCTGGCTACAGAATCTCCCTTCTGATACTTTGTCTAACATTTGACTTAAGTTTGTTTTTCTGGAATGCATACTGTTAAGGGAAGGATGAACATATTTATCAATACAATCTTTTGGGAAATAATTAGCAATATACCAATACCTTTATTTCCGTAATTTTAATATCTTCTTGGAAATCGTACCATAGAAATTACATTAATGATGGAAAAACTTTCAACACAGTATTGCTTGCTTTGTAGGTGGTGATGATGACAACTAACATTTACCGAATCCTTCCCATGCTGAAAACCCTATTGTAAGCTATTTATGTTCGATAAGTCACTTATTCTTCACGGCTATCCTACCAAGTAAGCATTATGATTATCCCCACTTTTACAGGTGAAGAAAATCGAGGCACCAAGAGGTTGGTTAACGTGCCCAAGATCAGATCGCACAGCGGTATAATAGGATGGTAAACTCCTATCATATAATGAACGTTAAGTGGAAAAAATTAGTATCCAAAACTGTAAGTCTGATGTCGCAAACTCTTTTTATAATTTAAGTAGTTTATAAATACCCTCATTACTAGCCATATTTCTGAGCACTTCATACGTAGAGTGCACTTTACAGAACACTGTCATGTAACCCTCACACCGTCTATGAAATAAGTGATAGTTTCCAGTTTCCAAAGACGAAAGCGGGGCTAGGAGAGGCCAAGTGCCTCGCGCGGCGCCTCAGGGTTCGCCCCCGCGGAGCAGACCTCAGGGCATCCCAGGCGGGCCCCGGCCGAGCTCGCGGCCCTGCGGTGGCTACGCCCGGGCCCAGCCGCTCGCGCTCCTGGAGCCGCCGGACTACGCGGCACGCGGACGCCGAGCCTGCCCTCTTGGGTCTACATAAAAACCGAAACTACGGGCAGTCTTAACCGAAATGGAGACTTAATTTTTTAGACTGTCTTTTGTGTAGTTGAGAAAGCCCCTTGCCGGGACCTGTGCTGCTGGGCCTCCGACCGCGTCCTCACTCCGGGCCCGGGCGGGGCGGGGCGGGGCAGGCGGCGCCCAGGGTGCGTCCCGGCTCTGGCGGCCGCGGGCCCGGGCCTCTTGCGGGCCTGGGGCTTCAAGCTCAGGCCCGGGCGCTCTATGGAAGCCGCGCGCGACCCCCGCTCCCCTGCGCGCGACCCCCGTTCCCCGCGCGCGCCTCACCTGACGCGGGCACCGCTCTCCGTGCAGCCTCCGGGCGCCACTGGCTTTGCGGACCGGGGCGGGATCCCAGCTCCGATTGGCTGCCCCGCTGGGGGGCGGGGGCCCAGACGCGGGATGGCGGAGACCGGGAGAGGACGGGAGGCGGAGGGGAAGGGAGTGGACTGGAAGGGAAGGGAGTGGACTGGAAGGGGAGGGAGGGTCCCGGCCTCGTGCGGTCGCGCGTGAGATCCCGGCCTCTGTGCCCTGGGCCTGGCGCCTGGGCCCGTAAGAACCGCCCGTGCGCCTGACCTCTTCTCTGCACCCAGCTTGGTGGCGAGGGGTGGGTGGTAGGTGCTCGCCGGCCGGAGGGCGTATGGAAGTGGCTGGGCCCCTCACGGTGTGCCTGGCCCCGGCGTTGGGGGGTCGAGGAGGTGTCGCATCTCTCTTATCCGCCCCCCACTCACCACGTAGAACCCACTGAATCCCTTTGGTATTGGTGGCCCCGGGCCGACTGAACTGGCGCGGAGGCTTACTTGAGTCCTTCCTGTAAATGTGAGAAGCGGTGGGGAATATTCCAGGAGGCCGGTGTCTGCGATGTCCTGTTCTTGGGTAGCTAGGAAGTGAACGTGGTCTAGGGAACTGCTTGGGCTCTTATCCACCTGGGAATGGGCTTGTTGGGGATCCTGATGTGGGAGAAGCCAGGGAGCTTCTAGCCTAGTGGGGCTGAGGGGAAACCAGGGAGCGGGGTGGATTAGGCTGAAGGAAAGAGATCTCTTTGATCTTAAAGGCAGCGTTCTGACGGGTAAGGTTGACCGGCATTTTCCCCAACCAAGAGTTCTATTACTTTATTCCATGACCTGACAAGCCTGTTTAAGTGAGGTTTTGTTGAGTGCGGAGAGAGAAGGCTTGGCTTTGAATTTTTATCTCCAGGAGGGACCTGTCTCCTGAACTCCATACTCCTCTATGCAGGTGCCTACTTAATACCTCCTCTTGGATCTCTAAAATACATTTCAATCTCAACACATCCAAATCTGTGCCCCTGATCTCTTCTCCATAGCATCACCATCTCAATGGCAACTCCATCTTCCAGCTGTCAAGGCCAGAAACCTTGCTGTTATCTGGCACTCACCTTTCTCTCACATCCCACCTCCAGGGCCCAAGAATTCTGTTGGTTGGATCTCCCTAGCATACCCAGAGCCTGACCACTTCTTACCTCTGCCTCCATCATCTCCTACCTGGTCATGACAGTGGTCCTCTTCCTGCAGCCTGTCCTCATACAGCACCCAGAGTGACCTTAAAAAAAGAAAGCCAGATCAAATTCCTCCTCTGCCGAAAACCTTCCCAGTGGTTTCCCAAACTCTGGGTAAAAGCAAAAGCCCTGCCTGATCTGCTCCTCTGTTACTCCTGCAACCTCATATTACTGCCTCCCCACTGGCTCACTCTGCTCCAGTCATTCTGGCCTCTGTGCTATTTCTTGTGCAAAGCAGACAGGGCTCTGCTGCAGGGTCTTTGCACGGGATGGTGTCTGTTTGGAATGCTCAACTACTTCTCACTCTTTCTGATCTTCGCTCAAATGCTGCCTCACTGAGAACTGCCCTAATCACTCCATTCAAAATTGCTACCTGTCTGCTCCTGAGTGACATTTATTTAGCTCCTGACTGAATTTGTTTATTTAGCTTATTGTTCGTTATCTGTCTCTTCCACCCACCTGCTGCTGCCCCTTGGGCCATGATATGTCCTTTCTCGGAAAAATAACTGCCACTAATGAGGTACCATATTTTCACTGGCAAGGCCTAGGACATAAGCCAAACTCTGGGGTCTGATTGTGCTGTCACTTTAAATAAACCACAAGAGGAAAGAGTGATTCCCCAAAAGGACATGCTGAGTGCTACTGCTAGGAGAAGGGATGCTGGCTAGGCAAAACCACAGATGTTCACTTGCTGAGTCAGACCAGTACACCCAGAGGAGCTTTGGGAAAACCTGTGAGAGGGGCCCTCCATGTCCTTGAGAGCAGAATTTAAGGATGAGGCCTCTAACCCCCTCACTTTCTGGTAACGATGTGTTATGAATGCATTGATTTATTTACCTTATCCTTCTAAAGTCTAGTTTTGTATTCAGTTTCTACTTTTTTGAATAAGAGCTTCCCATTCTACAAAGTGGTGACCCTCTTCGACCTGAAGAACTCTGTGGGAGGTTGGGGGGACAGTAAGACTGCTGTAGGCCACAAGTGACAGAAACCCCATCCAAACAGATTAACAGTTAGGAGGAGTATTAAGGCTCCAGCTCCATTTCTGTGTCATTCTCTTGGCTGTTTTTCCCCTATGTGTAACAAGATATGAAAATATAGATTTTGATTAGGACAACAAGATACACTGATGTGAAATTCTAGGAACAGATCTCTAAGGATATAAGAAGGAATCGGGGGGGAGCCACCTGTAATCACAACACTTTAGGAGGCCTAGGCAGGCAGATTGCTTGAGGCCAGCCTGGGCAACATGGCAAAACCCTGTCTCTACTAAAAACACAAAAAGTAGTGCTATCAGTGCTATCACTGCTGCACTATAGGCTGGGCGACAGAGTGAGACTCCATATAAAAATAAATAAATAAATATATAAATAATAAAAGTAAAGAAATCAAATAAATAAATAAAAAGAAGGAATTGGAGAGTGGAAGGGGGGTTTGGTGAAGAAATCTCTGACAGAGGCCAGGTGTGGTGGCTCATGCCTGTAATCCCAGCACTTTGGGAGGCCGAGGCAGGCAGATCACTTGAGGTCAGGAGTTTGAGATCAGTCTGGGCAACATGGTGAAACTCCCTCTCCACTAGAAATACAAAAATTAGCCGGGCACAGTGGGGCGTACCTGTGTTGTTCTAGCTACTCAGGAGGCTGATGCAGGAGAATCGCTTGAACCTGAGAGGCAGAGGTTGCAGTGAGCTGAGATCTCCCCATGTCACTCCAGCCTGGGCGACAGAACCAGACTCTATCTCTAAAAAAGAAAAAAAGGGGCAGGCGCTGTGGCTCACACCTGTAATCCCAGCACTTTGGGAGGACGAGGGGGGCAGATCACCTGAGGTCAGGAGTTCAGGACCAGCCTGGCCAATATGGTGAAACCCTATCTCTACTAAAACTACAAAAAAAAAAAAAAAAAAAAAATTTAGCCAGGCATGGTGGCACGTGCCTGTAATCCCAGCTACTCGGGAGGTTGAGGCAGGAGAATCGCTTGAACCTGGGAGGCAGAGGTTGCAGTGAGCCAAGATCGTGCTATTGCACTGCAGCCTGGGCAACACGAGCGAGACTCGGTATCAAAAACAAAAAAAAGGCCAGGCGTGGTGACTCACGCCTGTAATCCCACCACTTTGGGAGGCTGAGGCGGGAGGATCACCAGTTCAGGAGATTGAGACCATCCTGGCTAACACGGAGAAACCCCATCTCTACTAAAAATACAAAAAATTAGCCGGGTGTGGTGGCGGGCACCTGTAGTCCCAGCTACTCGGGAGGCTGAGGCAGGAGAATGGCTTGAACCCGGAAGGCGGAGCTTGCAGTGAGCCGAGATCGTGCCCCTGAACTCCAGTCTGGGCAAAAAAAAAAAAAAAAAAGGAAAAGAAAAACGAAAAAACGAAGAAGAGAAATCTCTGACAGAGCTTTTGCTGTGCTGTGAGTTTACCTCCTCCCCACTGAGGAAAGCTTCGGGCAGCCCATTTCCTTCACTTCATGCCTACAGGCTTGTCAGGTATGTTGGTGCACATGGAGACTCTCTGGTCACTTACTGCCCACCTGAAAAAGGCAGGCAGTGGTCGGCTGTCAGCTCACTCATGCAGAGGCGTCCCAGGATGTTTTTGTGTTTCCCATGAATCAGATATAGCCATGCAGGAGACAGTGCCTTTGGATCCCGTCCAGTAAGGCTACCTGGAAGGGCAGGAAGCTGAGGGTGAATGCCAGATATGTAGAGGTGAGGAGGAAGTCAAGGTACATGCACCCAGGGATAATCACTGGAGAGAGGTCTGGCATGGTCATCTCCAAAGAGTTGATGAACACTACAGTCCAAAAAATAACATCATGTATTGTCGTAGTCTATTCGGGCTACTATAACAAAATACCTTGGACTGGGTAGTTTATAAACAGCAGAAATTTATGGCTCTTAGTTCTAGCGGTTGGGAAATCTAAGATCAAGGTGCCAGGAGATTCAGTGTCTGGTGAGGGCTCAGTCTGCTTCAAAGATGGTACTTTCTCACTGCATCTTACATGGTGCAAGGGGCAAGCCAGCTGTCTTCAACTTTTTTTTTTTTTTTTTCTGAGATGGGGTCTCACCCTGTCACCTAGGCTGGAGTGCAGTGGCTCATCTCAGCTCACTGTAGTCTCTGCCTCCCGGTGGAACCTCCTGAGTAGCTGGGATTATAGGCGCATGCCACCACGCCCAGCTGATTTTTAATTTTTTTGTAGAGACAAGGGCTTGCTATACTGCCCGCATTATCTCGAACTCATACACTCAAGAGGTCCTCTGCCTTGGCCTCCCAAAGTGCTGAGATTATAGGTGTGAGCCACCACACTCAACCAAGATGTTGTAGTTTTGAAAGCATCTCAGGCAGAAGCAGGAGAGTGCAGTATCCAGCATATATTAGCTTATTTATGAAGTCCTCTGAGATGCCACCAGGGGAGGGGGCCACTGAGTAAGGTTCTGCAAGTACAGGTAGAAATAATTATCTAGGAAAAAAAAAAAAGGAGAATAAATGTAAGTGTGAACTTATTTATAAATACAGGTGAGAGAGGTTTGAAAACATCAGAAAAATATATGTATCTTCTAAAATTTTGAATGTGAGGAACACACAGCGAGGGAAGGATTCCCTTATTT